TTATTTAATATTTTAATTCTTATTATTTAATATTTAAATATTTTGTTATGACGTTCAAAAGTGCCTTACTGGTCTAATTGAAATAAATGATTTTGACTTTGACTTTGACTTTGACTTTGGCATCGCTCGCGTCACAAAAGGATAAAAAGACAATGTGACATATACCAATACACACAGCGCCATCTATACCAAAACTTTTGTTTTCCTTCGGGAATATCAATTTTTTCCGGGATAAAAAGTACCCTATTATTTAATCCGGACTTATAACTTTACGTCTGCAAAAATTCATAGCAATCAGTTTAGTAGTTATGGCGTGAAAGCGGAACAAACAAACAAACTCACTTTCCGATTTATAATATTAGTAAGGATTTTGGTCTATTAGTGGTAGGTGTTAGGCTAAGTTCGTCTGTTCGCGTCCATGTTATGGAACGCCCATTAAAAGTATCTAATATATAAAACTTCCACCATAGTAGTAGTATTTAGTAGACATCTGTTTGATCCTACACGTTTTCAGTATCTTACATTCATAGCGATCTGTAAAATAAATACAAATTGGTGGGTTGACAAGAACAGGCGAAATTCAAAGTCAAAGTCAAAGCATTTATTTCAATTAAACCATAGTTTGGTACTTTTGAAACGTCAACAAATACAAAATAAATAATGGTCTGTCAGTCAGTCCGTCAGTGAAATTAGGTAACGCTAGGTGCTAATTCCAAAATATAGATTCTAATGGAGAAGAACGAGCAAGAAACTCCATTCGTTACTCTTTTTTAAAAAAGTATGTTCTAAAATTAACACTAGATAGTTGCAACAAGAGTCTAGGAGTATATTCCTGGCTCAATTAAGTTAAGTCTCCATTGTAGGCCGCATCGTCACATACCACCACAAGAGATAGTGAAACCATGGCCATCAAATATAAAGAAAATAAAAAATTATTTCGAAGCTATAAATTCTTCGTTTCGACTATACTTGAAAAGGGTCCTGTTCACTGCCAAAAATGAAGCACATTTTATATGAATTAAGGTATTCAAGACTACAATTATCATTATGTTCCTATACCGTATCGCAAGTCGCGGAGAACCTAACGGGTTACCGGGGCTCCGGCTCGAAGTGCAGGAGAAGGATCGGGGTGGTTTTTAAGAGTCTGACACTCCCTCCCGCCTCACCCAGGCGGGAGCAGTCATTCGATGATTTTCCCCCTTAAAAAAAAATACCATATTACAAAGATCAACAAACCACAATAATACAATACAATGGTGTTTTCCTTACATTAACTGAAAATTCGAGATCAAAAAACTAATTTCCCCAACCCGTGACTAGAATTAACCGAAGACACCTATTTAATATTATCTCTTATTAAAAACCATTTTCCAGGAAATCGACTCTCACGAAACGACTTTACTTACCAATTTTCCTTGAACATTTCCTTCATTACAACATTGAAAAGAATTGAAAATAACAAGCGAACAAAACATCTGTTTTCAACCAATAGTGACCCTTATTTGTAGCGAATTTGTCCCTTGCCCATCGTTAGGACAATTCTCACGTTCCTCCTTACTTATTAAGGTCACTTAGAGCGGTCTGATGTGCAAAAAAAGCCTTTTGAATTCTATCCTCGCTAGTACAAAACTTTGCTTAGATGCGGTCAAATTGATACAGCCCGAATTTCTTCGTCCCACTTTCTTAAAAGAGCTCTGGATTTCATTTTGATAGGTCGCTTGTTGTCATGAGGAAAATGTTTGGTAAGTAACGCTCGCTTTTCATTTTCTGTGGGGTATTATGTAATATACACCCACTCTTCTCTAATTATCTTCTAGTTTCGTTGTAATGTTTTCAAGAAAAAATACCCAGAGGGGAATGCTTAATGTCCCTATAATGTATTAGATGTTCCCTTTAGCTTAACTATAGGATCCATGGCAAAACTTAAATATTGTATCATCAACTTACCTCAGAGGTAAGTCCAGGTTTCCTCACGATATTTTCCTTCACCGTTTTTCAGTGGTATCTAAATTATCTTAGAAAGTATATATAAGTCGGAAAAAGTTACATTAGTACTTACCGTTAGTGGGCTTCGAGCCCGCACCCTCATGCATGAAAAGCGAGTGTCCTAAACCTCCAGGCCACTACGACCAAATATATCACCAAATAAGGCAGTCCGAAATAAAATGCCCAATATTGAAAAGCCTCATTAGAAACTTCCACAGAATTAAAACTCAAAACCGTCAAAAAATGGCGCCGGCGTGCAATCAAATAATTTAAAGTTAATTCAACTGAGAATTATAATATCTGAAGAGGAAATTGAAGAAGTTTTGCAAAGAAGTAGCCAGTTCGTTCCCTAATTTCTTTATGGGACCTCTGTTGCGGGCTCAGAACATTTCAGTGTTCAAAGAAATGTAACAGTCGCTATTAAAGTAATTTGGTTTGTTACTTCGCCTTTGACTTCCTGACCGCTGTTTTATTGAGGGATTTTTTATTCATTTATTTTGGCTTTTATTGGTCTTGTTTATCATTAGACAGATTATTTATTTGCTGATATGGTGGTAACAAGATTTTTAATTAATCTTCAGATACGATATGCTTTCGACATGTGTTTGTAAAAGATAATACCTTTTTATAATCTTTGTATTTGTGTACCTTCTTTGAGCGCAGAAAATCATCCAATGACTTCTCCCGCCCGGGTGAGGCGAGAGAGAGTGTCAGACTCTTACTGACTAAAACCCACCCCGTTCTTACTCCTCCAACCCGTTATGTCCTCAGCCCTATTGAGCTCCATCTGTGGTGGGTATATTTTTCTTTTTTTTTCGTCATCTATGTACTGGTCCGCACTCTTATTGCAACTCCCAGATTTAATTAAAAACTATGATTCCTTAAAAATAAATATTAGTACAATTGAAGTACTTATTCCATCGACCTACACTATAAAATAAAATAGTTATTCTTTAATGAAATAAAAATGAAACACGAATCCGACCAACTTTTACTTTATTAAACCACATACAAAATAAAATGTGAACAATATGACATTCACTTTGCTTTCACTACTGAGAGACGTACTGTGTGAATGTTTGTTCATCAACTTGGAGAGAGACTTGCCTGTGGGTCGCGGATCTCCTCCTGGACAGTTTTCATACATCATGTTGATATCACAATTCTGGAAGAATGAATACGTCATTATCTTTAAAAGTTCCGTAGATAATTCAGTCTCAACAACATACCTGCCACCTTTTGTCAAAAGATTCCAATGGGGGAGAACTATGCTTCGGCACGAATGGGCCGGCTCAACCGAGGTTATACCATGGTTTTATTAAAATCCAGCTCAAAATAACGCTTGCGTTTTTGCGTGTTTCGCCATATAAGTGAGGTTACTGGAGACCCAATTCTACCATTGCTAATTTATATACTCCTTTTAAAAAATTGACAATGATAGCACGGAATCAGGAATTGTGCCCGGTATATGGCAATACGCTCACCCCCTATTACATGGGACTCATAACATAAATAGTGAAAAGTGGGTGTTACATTGTACAGTGGCGTAATATGCACCTCTGTCTACCCTTTCGGGGATAAAAGGCCGGCAAATCACTTGTGCCTCTTCTAGTGCTACGGTAGTCCATGGATAGCAATGATTACTCTCTATCAGGGACCTGAATCTGCTACGAAAGAGGGATGGACCTATTAGGTTGAATAGCCCCGTCCCTCTTGCACAGCTCAATGATCAACCATACTGACACAATTGTAAGGGCCGAAACACATAAGCGCGTTGCGTCGCCGCAACGCTAAAATCGGCAGTTTGCGTGGCGGCGATGCGGCGTCGTGAAAAAGAACGTTTTATTGTCGTTTGGTAGGGTAACCAGTTCGTCGTGATTTTTTATTGTGGATAGACGTGTCTCTGTCATGGACCATCGTGAAAAAGTTATTGCTTATTTGTTATTAAGAAGTCATTACTCTATGCTGGAGCGCTGCGTTGCTGCGCCGCGCCGCTTAAATCGGCAGTGACGCTACTGTCGATTCTAGCGGCGCGGCGCCGCAATGCCGTTATGTGTTGGCCCTAATAGCAGACTTAGGCCCCAGGTGACCTGTTTGCTCGTTAGCACTCCTCTATCCCCTAAAAAACCTTACGTCAAAATATGTTGTCCCCAAATCTACAAACAGCATATTTTATTGAAACAGACAAACTGTCCATCATTTTCACAACTACCAAAACGAAATATTCAAAACTATGAAAATACCAAAAGCAAAAACGTATAAAAACTTTTATTTTTCAACGCAGAGAGAGGTAGACAAAGCAAAAATAGCAGGAATTCTTCAAATAGCCTTGTTGTCTGTTTCACAACAAAATTGTACTGTATTCGAAATTTGCGAGGAATTACAGTGGAATGCTGACAAGCCGAGGGACGGGCGGTTGTGGAACAAATGAGAATGTGCGTCCGATACGGCGGGACCACGGGGCTGATATTAAAATTATATTGGCATCCTATATTTTTTATACATAAATGATTGAACTGAAATTTTTCATCCATAAGAATCAAAGAATCTACGTTTATATCATTTTTATTACCGCTACCATTACATTTATAAAGAAATAGATAGAAGACACTAGACGATAGAAGACATACCGCTCGACGTTTCGTAATTTTGACGTGCTGAATCAAAGTTTAGCAAGCATACTAACGTCTGGCAAATTCATTTCATGTTTTTCTACCCATAAATTTACAGACATGTTAAAACATCTAAAATTTTTAATTTAAATATTCAATAAAATTGCGTTCGTCACATAATTATCAATAATAAAAATGTCTGGCAATAAAAAATATATGTTTAGTAAGTCTAACTGAAGCCAAAAATTTGAAAATTACATTTTCTAAAACGTTTTTAAAATCTCGGATTTATACCTGTTGTAGAAGACAGAGGGTCGCCTTCGAGGGATTTGGAGAAACATCACAAACACCACCTTTACTTTCACTTTTTATTCACTTCCTTTGTTCCTATTTCCCGCTAGGGGCGCTGGTTGTACTCGACAACGTCACATTTGACGAGCAACCTAACCAAATTGATGTAACGAAACCATAGCGCGATCTATCTCGATATTAAGGCCATCTATCAAGCGATGCGACAACTTTGAAGATTAATAATTATTTTATTATTACATGTTAATCGCGCTTTGATCTCGTTACCGCTCCGAACACCTGTACAGATAAGATGCGCACTAATGAACGCAACCGCTAGCGCCAGCCAGACAGGTCAGACTTGAACCGAAGGTGGAAGAAGGACGACCTATCAAAATATCAATCTACCTGAAATTCTTACTCGAAAACGTTGCTAGCTTACATTTTCGCTTAGCAAGCGACAAGTGCTCAATTCAAGCATGTTTTCGTTCTTGAAATAAGCATGTCTACCTTAAGTCAACACACCCTACACTGGGTACAATTGGCGTGTCGCGTTGAGCCATCAGACCACCACAGATGGGGCCCAATAGGGCCGATGCCCATTCGGAGTCGCGGAGAACCTAACGGGTAACTGGGGCTCGACGTGCAGGAGAAGGAACGGGGTGGTTTTTAGTCAGTAAGAGTCTGACACTCCCTCCCGCCTCACCCAGGCGGGAGCAGTCATTCGATAATTTTCCCCCCTTAAAAAAAAAACACTGGATACAACTCCAGCCTTCAAAAGAAAAAAAAATGAAATTAAAATATGGATATACTCTGATGTAATAATGTACCCGTAGGTTACTTCATAGGGCTGCTACGCATGTAACAAAAGCACGAGTCCATGTATGTTTAGCAAAGAACGCTGCAATTTTGAATGCAAATGAACTTGCATTGTTAACTGCGAGCGAACACATGCAGTATTTTGGCACTTCATAATTAATTTCTATGAATTTTTGCGTTCATAGGAACGTTGAACGTGAAAGCATGAATAAGTTTAAAATGCTACCTTGTTGACTTAAACTTAGAAAGCGTAAAAAAATAGATTTTTTGTTCCAAAATTCCCAAAATAGCACAGTCTGAATTGGCATCCACTATCGGACAATGGACTCCTCTAGTCGTTCCCTCGTGTCTGAGGATCATGGTCAGCATCAGGATTGCATCTGGAGCGGATGGCCTCCTTCCAGCGGTTTCTGACCAGCGCGTCTCTTAAAACCGTGCAAAATTTTGAGGACGAGTCTTTTACTTGATAACATAACATAACATCACGCCTTTTATCCCCAAAGGGTTACGCAGAAGTGCACATTACGCCATTTAATGTCACTGTACAATGTAACACCCACTTTTCACTATTTATGTTATGAGTCCCATGTAATAGGGGATGAGCTTATTGCCATATACCGGGTATAATTCTAAACTCCGTGCTACTACTGAGATTTTTTTGTAAAACCCAGTAATACTTTGCCCGACCCGGTAATCGAACCCGAGACCCCTTGCCCGGCAGTCGCACTTGCGACCACTCGAACAACTCTTTTACTTGATCGGTCCATAAATACCATAACTTGCTAAAAATAGAGTCGAAAATTCAACACCAACTTCTTTTTCGAGGATTGAGTTCACATTGTTATTGTGGACAATATTAAAATAATAACGACAAAATCAAAATTCAGCGTCGAAATAAAATAAAATATGAATTATAAAAGCTCTCATATTTCGGAATATCTATTATATTAAAATGGCGAATGGAATATTATAGCGTGCTATAAACTATAACGGTTCAACAAACTTTTGTCTGTACAACTGAAAAAGAGGAAAACAACGATAATTTTTCACAAACGGAATACGAAATTTCATATGAATTGTAGACCAATTTCCAATGTATACAATACACCAATTATAAAACTTTAATAGATTTTCGTTGTTGTTACATAGAAATACTTATAGACTGCCTCGTTGGCCGAGTGGTCCCAAGTGCGACTGCCGGGCAAGGGGTTTCGGGTTCGATTTCCGGGTCGGGCAAAGTATTAAAGGGTTTTTAAAAAAAATCTCAGTAGTAGCATGGAGTCTGAAAATGTGCCCGGTATATGGTAATAGACTCACCCCTTATTACATGGGACTCATAACATAAATAGTGAAAAGTAGGTGTTACTTCTGTGTGCCCCTCTGCCTACTCATTCGGGGATAAAAGGCGTGATGTTATGTTATGTTATTTTATGTGTTACATAGAAATAAGACTAAATAGATACCACAATCCAATGTCATACGTAACACACATAGCATTACGCCTTTTATCCCCGAAGAGGTACGGAGAGGCACATTACGGCACTTAATGCCACTATACAATGTAACACCCACTTTTTCACTATTTATGTTATGAGTCCCATGTAAAAGGTGAGCCTATTGTCATATTGCCCAATGGTATACAAAGTCATGAGATTATAATAAATTCTGATTATAAAATAATCTAAATCGAACGCAAAATCTCCACAACACAGTCAATGAAGCAGAATTATTCAATACATAATCTTCAAATCGCATTTATTGTTATTAATTACTTAAAATATTATTGTGAATAATTCATCGCATACCGGATCCACTAATCCCCTTTCGATTTTATGACGACTTAATTATTTGCCATGCATACGTCATATTACTTTGAACTTCCAACACACCTCAGTGCCTCAAGACGAAAGTCTAAAATCAGTATGTGTTACCAGTGATGGACTATGGAACTGAAACGTGGTCTCTCACTGTGGGCCTTATAAAGAAGTTCAAGGTCGCTCAGCGCGCTATGGTAAGGGCTATGCTCGGAGTTTAGGGGCATATCTGGAAGTCACCTATGTTCAGCAGTGGACGTCCTGTGGCTGATATGGTGATATGATGATATGATGATTACTTTGAATAAAAAAGCAGCATAAAATCCCATACCTGAAACACATCACCTTCTGAGACAATTGCTGAAAACTGCTGTAAAGTGACCGCCTGTTCATAGGGACAAGTTTTGGGGATGTCAAAAAGTGCATCCGCAGTGCACCTCCTGAATTTGGCTCGGGCACTGAAACAAAAAATTCGAACTGAAACACATGCATACGTCAATAGTTTCAGAATTTTTTGTTGAAATATCCATTGCGTGGAGCTAGCGATGCGAGCTTGCGAATTTGAGTGGTCACTGAAATGGCTGAATGGTTTTTTGTTTTAAAAGGATTAGAGATTGATAAATTGTCATATTGTGAATTGTGAGTTTTTTGGGTCGGTATAATTATTGTTCAATAACAATCATAACTTAGCTGTTTGAAGTACGAGAATCAGTCACGAGATTGGTAAACAGTATTTTAGTAACTTTTTAATTTTTTAGATTCTAGAAGATGACGTTGTGTAGTCACATAGATGTTTTTCATAAAAAGTGCACAACAGTCGCAGTGATTTTTTCTGTTAGAGAAGCATATTTCAGAATCAGACTTGAAAAAAAATTATTACTTTGTCTAGAATAATGTTATCATTGTATACTTGATGATTAGAACTAGTAAATCTATACTTATAATAAATCTGTTGAGTGGTCAATTCTGTACATAAAATATATTTAAAAAATAACTATCAAGGGGTGGTTAGGGATCGCTACTGATGCCAAAAATGCAATCAGTAAAATTTTTGTCTGTCTGTCTGTCTGTCTCATCTATACTTATAATAAATCTGTAGAGAGGTCAATTCTGTACATAAAATATATTTAAAAAATAACTATCAAGGGGTGGTTAGGGATCGCTACTGATGCCAAAAATGCAATCAGTAAAATTTTTGTCTGTCTGTCTGTCTGTCTGTATGTTCGTTATGGAAACAAAAACTACTCGACGGATTTTAACGAAATTTGGCACAATTATTCTTCATATTCTTGGGCAGGTTATAGTATACTTTTCATTACGCTACGATCAATAGGAGCAGAGCAGTGAAGGGAAATATTGGGAAAACGGGAGAAGTTACTCCATTCATTAACTTAATACACAAGGAGTTACACGCTGACGGAGTCGCGGGCACAGCTATCTATTATTTTCTGCCGGAAGTCACTATTCCACGCGGACGAAGTCGCGGGCAAAAGCTAGTAAACTAATAAAGTAAAATAATTAAAAATTAGGTCAAGGGCGTTCAGAGTTCCGTGGGCGTCATTTTGAAATTAATACTAAAAGTTATACCTATATTTTCCACCTATCCCTATTTTTGACAAATATGTTGGCAAAGATCTGTTCTAAAATCCCATACGAGATTTTTGTCTAATTACAAATCGCCCTGTATAATTATGATAAAGGTAGGTAGGTTTGTTAAATTCTGAACTCGCCACTGACCAATAATATTATTATGGCAATACCCTCAAATGTAGAAGAAGCGCGATAATCTAGTTGTGGATAGCTAAGTACTGTTGCCTCGTTGATATTGTACAAAATATTATGATCTACAAACCAACACATATGGAAATGCGTTTCGAAGTGTGTCCATTCGTGTGTGGTATTCTTCTGTTCGTCCACTGTGGATTTGAAGAAGGCATAACACTTCTCCCACGCATCAGCAGATCCCTCAATACAATTTGGCAATTCGTCGTACCCTGAAATCATAATTCAGTATTTTTTGAACGTATGCTTTATTAGAATGCGTATGCAGTAGCCGAGTGGTCGCAAATGCGACTGCCGGGCAAGAGGTCTCGGGTTCGGCATCGGGCAAAGAATTACTGGGATTTTAAAAATTCTCAGTAGTAGCACGGAGTCTGGAATTGTGTCCAGTATATGGCAATGGGTGAGCAATTATTATTACTTTTGACTGCCTCGTTGGCCGGTCGCAAATGCGACTGCCGGCCAAGGGGTTCGATTCGCGAGTCGGGTAAAGTAATACTGGGTTTTTTAAAAATTCTCAGTAGTAGCACGGAGTCTAGAATTGTGTCCGGTATATGGCAATCGGCTCACCCGCTTTAACATGTGACTCATAACATAAATAGTGAACAGTGGGTGTTACATTGTACTAAGGATGTTATGTTATGCTTTATTAGATGGTAAAATAAATAATGTAAATGAAGTGCAGAAATAAAAAGGCAAAGGAGATAAGTTTTCACTAGACTTAAACTGCGATGACCAAGCTAGGGATTTCAGATCCGAATCTCATCCGATTCACACTATTTCCACACGCGAAAATCAACTCTAAGAGATCTTGCATTTCATAGAAACAAAACTACTTACTGGATAGAAATTGTTCATCGTTACATATATTGTTAACTACGTGCATATGCCCCCGAATACTCTCTTCGTTGAAGTGGCTTTCTGTCACGTCCTTACAATCTGAATTCCAATCTATCGCACAATTTGTGAGATGACGTATCGCTCTGTAATAACATTTCATTAAAAATATATCATTTTAATTTTGTCACGATTGGGATGATGACAGGGTATAAAAATTAAAAATATGATTAGTCCGTATGTTAGGTTAGGTTAGGTAATGTAAAAATATTAGACACGTATTTTTTTATTTTGTCATATAATAAAACAATACTTAAAGTTTAGGATTGGGGGCTAAAATGTCGTTTCTACGTATAAAATGTACATAGAAGTGACGTCACGCGACATTTCAAATCAATATATCGTCGTAAGTATTCGTTTCTGTAAGAAAATAGAAAATACGTGTCAAATGATTTAAAATAATGTACCAAACGGTCATTAAAATAAAAATTAGGCATCTACCCTATTTTTACTCTTTTCGCAAATATCATATTAAGAGAACAGATTAAAGCTCTAAACAGACGAACAGCATTTCAACTGCAATCCAACTGCAAATTGCAGTTCGGATACAGTTTGGACGCAATTGATACGACTGCAATAGGACTGCAATCGGACTGCTCGTTTGATTTGCAACCGTTTGTTTGATCATAACTGCAATAGAACTGCAGTCCAATGATTGCACGTTTGGTTTGCAGTTCAATTGCAGTCCTGTTGCAGTCAATCTGCATCCGAACTGCAATTTGCGGTTGGATTACAGTTGAAATGCGGTCCGTCTGTCTAGAGCCTTAGGGACTGCACATTCATCTGACTGGGTAGTAATGCTTTCTGCTAATCGTCATGGACCTGCAACTGTCCTACATCTGAGGAAAGGCCTTTTTTCACTTCCTCTCTGATAAACCCCAACCACTTTTTTTTTAAATTCTGAACCTTGTATAATGCAATCTTCAGTCAGTCTACCAAGCATTACGGTTATAGTAGGTATACCCTTTTACGAAGGGAAGACCTATAATCCAGCTAGCAGTCCTATAGTTACGGGTTGTTCATGTGACTCAAAATTAGCGGAAGATTTAAAGACCTTTTTTAAGGAATCACATGGATCACAATTACGTTACCAGCCTTTAGAGGACTAGGAATTTAAGAATTGTTGGGGATTCAGGGATTGCGGAGGGGGAGGGGTAATTGGGCCTCCGGTAACCTCACTCACACGACGAAACACAACGCAAGCGTTGTTTCATGTCGGTTTCTGTGAGTCCGTGGTATCACTCCGGTCGAGCCGGCGCATTCGATTCGAAACATGATTCTCCCACATTTAAATAAGGATAACACATAATAAAATATTTACTTGCACCAATCATAAACTTGTCCGGGCATCGGAGGGGACTTCTTAACAGAATTGTAACTCATTGCAGCCTCAGTCGTACAGTTATGTGCATACTCTGCGAAGTTATCACAATTTATATTCTTCATCGAAATCAATTTCTCTTTATCTTTCGTCAAGGTCATTACTGGTTCAAATTCTATGTCGTCGGTCGATGGTGCACCACGCGCTTTTGGTTGATGATCATAGTCGTCAAAATCTAGAAAATAAACGTATAATTAATTATATTTCATTATAAAATGCTTATCACCTCTTCCAAATGACTATAACGAATAAGATGGGTAAAATGTCGAATAAAAAGTAAGAGGAACAACTATAAAATCACAGCTATCATCCCGTAGACTGATATTACAAAATCTTATACAAGTATTATCGGAAACATAAATGGTGTTCCAGTACACCAGGGGGTTTTAAACATCATCATCATAAGCCTGTAACTGTGCCACTGCCGGGCAAAGGCTCTCAAATAGACAACGTCTTTGACATCTATGTATACCCAGAAAGGCAAATACTACGTGTTGATCTTGTACATTTGTACCTAACCTCTCCTCATTTGTATTCGTTTACTTCTTATGAAATCATAACAATAAGAAAAGACAGAGTGCAGCTGTGTTTGCACGCAAATGTATACACGATTTTTTAACTTATTCATTCCTTGTTATGGACTATTTTAGTTCGAGAGGACTATTGTAATGGTGATTGGTTAATTTATACTTACAGACGGCGTGCAAACAATCAAAAAGAATTGTAACCAAATATAGAATTAGCATTTCTCATATAAGAGGCTGTTTTTATATCATTTCTTTTAATTTTACATCGCTTTTCCCAATTTATGTGTGTACACATCTGTTTTATTATACGTAAAGACAGAATGAGTATACATGTCAACGGTGACATGACATTCAGTAGCTGATAGATTGTTCTTTTTGGTTTTGTGCACCGAACTTCTTGAAGGGAGGTTTTTTGTCGATGATTTTCGTATCTACTGTCTTGGGCACTTGACTCATCGCCGACTAGAAAACATTTAACTATCGGCCACTATTACCTAGCTATTTTCTCGGTCAAGAAACGTATAACAGAAAGCGAAAGAGGTATGTAAGAAGCGTAGCAATTGGCGTTCCATAGTCTCGGCCTGCCCCCGTGGGAAACAGTCGTGAGGTTATGTATGTATGTAAACGTAAAATCGATATGAATTCCGTGTAAACACAAGAAATGCATCTACGAATAGTTGATTGCTAACTGTACACACTGCCGGCGAGCACTTGCAAGAGCAACTATTAGAACTCATACGCTGATCACCAACTCGTTTCCAATTCTAGCCCGTTACTCGTTCATCGTGAGACAATTGCCTTACGGGCTGTCTTATACGTACAATAATAAGAAATACGTCATATTAGTCTTCTAAGTCACTTATAATTTCTAATCATAAGTTTGAAATCTCCAACCCGCATTGAGCAAGCGTGGTGATTAATGCTCAAACCTTCTCCATGTGAGAAGAGGCTTTGCTCAACAGTGGGCATTTATAAGCTGTTGATAACATGAGTCTTCTCAGGCTTTGACTGCCCATAGAAAACTGTTGAAGGCTAATCTTCTATTAACGTCAGTCACCGGTGACTCCCGTGATTAATGCATTAAACCTATCAATTAAGCCTACTATACCAAGCTGAACTGTGTGTGTTTTAAAAAAAATTAAAGACATTGCTATTAATCATTCTATGATTACTAGACTAGTAATTTAAAACTTTTTTTTAATGGGGGGAAAATTATCGAATGACTGCTCCCGCCTGGGTGAGGCGGGAGGAAGTGTCAGACTCTTCCTGACTAAAAACCACCCCGTTTCTTCTCCTGCACGTCGAGCCGGAGCCCCGGTTACCCGTTAGGTTCTCCTCGACATGTTTGAGTGGTTAGGAATGAATAAATATGTTTAAAAACGTGTATGATCACGATTTTTTTGCAACCACTCTTCTACCAAAGCCCCAACTTTTGATTCAGAAACTGTCTAGACCTCTACATGAACCGCTCTATATCCTATCATAAGACGAGTTCTGCAAGCAACCTTAGCAGCTACGCCTCAAATAATTACAAATGCTAATCTCATAAGTAATTCCTAAATCCCTCTAAACACATGAATATGTATACAGGATTATAAATATACAAATATATATAGGTACATAAAACCAGTTATCATGGTCTCGATTGGAATGATCTTTCTGCGTATTCAAGGCTCAGTTTATACTGGTAGTTCATATACCTTTGTTTTGGGATAAATCTCAATTCACGCTAATTGATAATAGTACAGTATCAAATGTTATTAGATTAAGATGTTTCGATACTGTTTACCGTGAATCGATTTAAACTGATGTGCGGTTGTTGTGTCCTTACGTGTGTACAATAAGGTATCCTAAATTATAAAATTAATGTATAACAAGTATAATATTGTAATAGATTTTTTTATGAATAGGGATGATGACGGGGTATGAAAATTAAAAATCGAATTAGTCTGTAAGTTAGGCAACGAAAAAATATAACATAGAAGTGTCGTCACGCGACATTTCAAATCACTATGTCGTCGAAAAAATTCGTTTCTGTAAAGAAATAAAAATACGTGACTAATTATTTAAAATAATCTACCAGTTGGACATTAAAACAAAAAATAATCTTCTACCCTATTAAGCCAAAACTAACATGACTTCATCATCACGCCTTTTATTCCCGAAGGGACAGGCAGAGTTGCACATTACGGCAGTTAATGCCACTGTACAATGTAACACCTACTTTTTCACTATTTTTGTTAGATATAAGTCCCATGTAATAGAAGGTGACCCTTTTTTTTTTTTTTTTTTTTTAAGGGGCGAAAATCATCGAATGACTGCTCCCGCCTGGGTTAGGCGGGAGGGAGTGTCAGACTCTTACTGACTAAAAACCACCCCGTTCCTTCTCCTGCACGTCGAGCCGGAGCCCCGGTTACCCGTTAGGTTCTCCGCGACTCCGAATCGGCATCGGCCCTATTGGGCCCCATCTGTGGTGGTCTGATGGCTCTTTGAGGCGCGCGCGGAACGCGACGCGCCGTACGCTCGGGTCTGTTTCTGGTCGGACGGGGAGCCACCCATGCTCGCCGTCCGCAGGCCCGCGCTTACGGTGGCCGGAGATCGTCCCGCGATCCCCGACGCCCGGTGTGTCCTTCGCGATGGCTGGGTTGCGAGGAGGCAGCGCTTCGCTGCCTCACGCGTCCCGCCTCCTCCTTAGCTAGCATGACTGCTTCGCAAAAGGAGGAGACGGCATCCCAGTCCCCCTCGCTCCGCATCATGGCCCGCACTAGGCCCGGACGCGAGAGGTCGCCATCGCCGATCACTTCCCTGAGGACACGGCGGTGCTCAGCCCACGAAGGGCATTCTCCCACCGTGTGTTCCACCAGAAGGTGACCCTATTGCCATACCGGGAACAATTCCAGACTCCGAGCTACTACTGAGATTTTTTTGTAAAACCCAGTAATACTTTGCCCGACTCCAGAATCGATTCCGATACCCCTTGCCCGACAGTCACACTTGCGACCAGTCGGCCAATTAAAAGTAATATTAATTAATCGTACTTCGTACTTAATGCATATTCATATCATGTGATTGAATAAAAGACTTTTAGATAAATTATTTATTTTAAGTTATAATCCCTTACAATATTTATAGCACTAATATTCTTTTTTTATAGAATCGGAGGCAAACGAGCAGACGGATCAACTGATGGTAAGCGATCAGCGTCGCCCATGGTCCATGGCCCCGCAACAATATTAAATTGAAACATCATTATGTAATTATCATGAATGTAAAGAAAATAAATAGATTACTGTTTTCCTTCTACCTAGCCCAAAAGATTACCCATGATTTTAGTGTCTATTCGAGGTTATAAAAAATCCAAAATATTATTTTTTTTTTTTTTTAAAGACTTCATGCACACGCTAATGTACAAGGTGGGCTTAATGCCTAGGGCATTCTCCTCCAGCCAGACCTTTGGGTGATGCAGAGACAAAAACAATGGTCGGTGCAAGAAGCAAGCGTATTTAAAACTCAACAGAAAAACACTACACTACAATATACATAGAAAAACGGATAGTATAGACTTACATAAAATAAATCCCTATATAAACTTACATGTATATGTCATAACAATAAACTTACACAATTATATTACATATACTACTTAGACGTAACATAATTATACATAGTATATTGATAGTTACAATTCTGCCAACCTCCTCAAAAGTAGCTCCCGCGCCTTCCACATTATTATACCTAACGAAATTATAATGGTGTTTCATTGGCTCTCCGAATACAATTTCTAATCTTTTTATACGCCTTATACATACCATAGGAAAAACATATAGACACTTTTATGAATATAAATATTGCTAGAACATTAAGCATTACATAGAAACTTTCATTTGGTCCTTCTTGTGTTGGTCCTTCTTGCGCTGGTCCTTCTTCCACTGATGTTCCTGGCTCTTCATAATTTGGCAGGTTGACTATGTCTTGCGTTGAATTGTCCATTTTTGTGTACATTTTTTTGTTAAATAAAGTTCCTTTGCTTTTCCAAATAACAAAATCGATAGTTTTATGGCTCTTTAACTTCTAAGAAAGAGAAAATTTTTGCAAGTCATTCATAACTCGAGTTATACTTCTGATTTTGAATACTACTAGATATGTCTGGTCATCCAAAGACTGCGATGATTATCATTCACAGCAGTCTTATATTGATTATATGGTGCTGCATTTTTTCGTTCATTGCTTGCATAGTATAAAGCCCATTATTCTTGATAATTACTGTACGAATTCCGTGATCGTGATGTTCTTTTCCTCTTTTCGTTCGATGGATTTTCTAATGAGTAATTGATACAGGAAAGTCCGTAAAATTTCTTGTGTACAACACATTAATAGTATAATTTTCGAGTGATAAACACTGTTCTAATTTATCTCCGAAACTGTATCAAAAACGCTAATGCGATTCCAAAACAAAATCTCTGAATAACACAGCTTCATTCACTTTCTATGAACTTCAAAGTAACTGTTAATAAAATTAGAATATACTTGAATAAATTCCTTTGATTCACAGTCGGTAGGAAACACAACCAAAATGATGAAGGAAACTGAAGCTTCCTTTATAGGACTTGTATTAGTACCTACATTAGTAATATAAAGGTGGTTATAGATAATAGAGAATAACATGTTATGAATACTGCCTCGTTGGCTGAGTGGTCGCAAGTGCGACTGCTTTGCAAGGGGTCTTGAGTTCGATTCCCAGGCCGGGCAAAGTATTACTGGGTTTTTAAAAAAATCTCAGTAGTAGCACGGAGTCTAGGTTTGTGCTCGATATAATTATGGCAATAGGCTTACCCCCTATTACATGGAACTCATAACATAATTAGTGAAAATTGGGTGTTACTTCTTTGTGCACCTCTGCCTATCCCTTCGGGGATAATAGGTGTGATTTTATGTTATGAATAGTTAACGGTGTTATGAAAAGATAATATTGTTCTAAAATAATTTGGATAGCATAAGTTATAAAACATTATAAATAATGACTTCTCGCGTCGACATTGTGAAAAGCACTGCGGCGCTCTGATTGGTTAGTTTATTGGCGCCGGCCAATCACAGTGCTGAACGCGTACTCGTTACGAATACTTTGAACGTAAAACAAAATCGTACTTAGGCCTCAGAATGACCAACGAAATTGTTATAGCAACATAGCGATGTTATATGATATTGTTAGTTTACCTATTGTTATAAATGTATGTTAAAAATTTAAAAGCAGTGCTAACAATGTCGTGGTGGCTCCGAGATTAAGACAACCGCTTCTGATACATGAGGAT